TCAAGACTTTAAGATCTAGAATCATATTTCAATGCTAGCAGGCAGAAAAGGCTCTCATCTCCAATGAACAGCCCAAAAAGCAGGAAGTAGAGCTCTAGATAAAGTGGTAGAGCACTAGCTTTGAGAACAAAAGGCCAGGGACAGTGCTCAGGCTCTCAGTTCAAGTTAAAGGCCAGCACACACACACAAAATTCAACTCTTCACACTTTTTTTAAATAAGTTTTTTTATTGTGAAAATACTGTACAGAGGGGTTACAATCACATGAGCAAATTAATGAGTACATTTCTTTCTTTTTTTTTGCTTAAGTTTTTTTTTTAATTGTGAAAATAAGGGTTACAATTACATGGGCAAGATAATGAGTACATTTCTTATCAAGCATTGTTGCCTCCTCCTTTGTTTTTCCCCTCCCATCCCTTCCCTCCCATCTCCACAACTACATTCCCCCACTTTCTCCTCCCCCCCCCCCAGCCTAAATTGTAAAGTTTGTTTTTCGATATAGTGTCTTCTACATCTCATTGTTGCATCTTCACACATTTTAATAGGCTTGATATATGTGATCAGAATAGTCAATTATACAATATCCAAAACTAAATGCATGTAACTAATACCTCCATTGTGCACAGAGCATGGATGCTCAAAAGCAAGGCTACTGCTGTATCCCTGATCTTCACACTGCCTCTGTACCATCATGATATACAGGTTGAATTCTTTATAGCCTGGTGCATGTGGGACAGAAACGTAAAAAATTCTGAAATATAACATGAGAGATGAAATGCAGCAAATTTGAAGGTGTAGTTGTATGAAAATGGAAAGGAGAATGGGAAAAAAAGGAAGAAAATGGAAGGAAGGATAAAAGCAAGACTAAAGGAAGAAGGAAAGGAAAAATAACCAAAGTTAAATGCAAATAAGTAAGGATAGGAAGCAGCAACAAATGGAGAATGGGATTATGGGATTTATGGAGCCTATCAACTTGTAAACATTTCTCTATCATTTGGAAACAAATTATACTAATGAAGATCTCTCTGCTATGATGAACACTAAAACAACAAGTACATCAGCCCAGGGTGCACTTTGGATGGCAAAGGCCCAATGATGCACTTTTGAGTTCTAAGCACCCAAATGCAAGCTAAAAATCACTTGATATTTCCACCTAAGGTTGGAATTGGCAATTAAAGGACAGAACAGCTATTACTTAAAGGAAGGTGGACCGAATGAGATGGAATGAGGGAGGCAGATATGGGTATGAGAATAGGATAGATGCCAAGAAACATCTCAGTGAAGCATCATGACTCAGATCTCAGATGGCTCCGGTCTATGATTCACTTCCATCATATCTACAGAAAATCAAACAGATTATCTGCAGTCTTCATAAACCTCACTTGATCACAAGCTTTCCACAAGCTCTTGTCATCTCTTGAATTTCAGAACAAAGCAGTAGACTCTGCTATTGCTCAGTCTGAGAAAGGCTCTTCCTCTCCACAACAGGTCACACCTGCAACACTGAACAGGAAAATGGAAGAAAGGTAAGGATTATTCCAGGAACACCCAGGTATCCAGTTATGATATTTGCTCTGAGTTTATATCCCTGTGTTTCCAGTATCGGGTGCTTTATTCAGGTGGGAATGGGAAAAGCCAGACACAGAAGCTTTCTTCTGGAAATTGAAACACTAGTGGCTCTTGCTCTGGAAATTTTAAATGATGCTAACCACATTTTCCTATCTTCCAAATCATATGTCCTTATTTTCCTTTGATTTGCCTTCAAATATGCTGATTCCTAGTATTTATTTAAAAGGAAATGTGTGTGTATATTGTTTCCCAGATCTTACATCATGTAAAATATGTTTCATTGGTTCTCAAAATATCCTACATTGTATCTTCATGGATCCTAAGATAAAAGAAACACATGGTCCTCATTATTATCTGTCATGTATGGCAGGATTCAGGGGAAAATGGCTATCCCAAAGTGAATCCACTGAGGGAAGAAAATGATGAAGCAGAATTTCTGCAGTAGGATTTAAGATGTGAGAGAAGGACCTATTGCCAGAGAGAAGGTACAGCTATAGCTGTATCTGTTATAGAACACTTGATGACCAAGAAGGCTTAGAAATGCATCCATCGCCAAATCACAGGTTAGTAAAAGGGACATTGATGATGAAAAGGAAAAATTCCTCTCCCACTGTCCTTCAGCGTGCCAATGGTGCTGTCCAATGGCTCCACTGAAACCCACACGGAACGGAAAGGATTCCCTAAAACCACACTCTTGGGAAGTGAAAGATGGCAGAGAAGTTTGGGAGCAATATTTTTCATGGGAGATGAAAATAGTCTTTACATCTCTTGTGTCTTCCTGCTACGTGAAGTCTAAATATCATTGAAGTGATTCTCATCTTCACCACAGCTATTATTTCTGGTTTGCATCTTATTTTTCTTGTCTCTTCTATAGAACTTTCACCATCTTTACAAAAAGTGCTTGAAAACTAGAATGCATCTGACAACTTCTTACATATTAGAGCGTGAGGGTGCAGGAAAGCTCCAACCCAGAGGACCACATGGACTCCAAAAAGAGAGCAAACTAACAATGCTGTGCCTTTCGGACTAGGTGCAACACAAGGCAATGCTTGTCTCATAAAGGGGATATCTTTATAGGGCCAGGGGCTAGGGATGGAAAGGCTGGGTTTACTATTTGCAACAGTTGCAGTTATATCTGGGCTGAAGGCATTCCGCCACAGGGGTGGTGGTTAACAACTGCAGTCAAGTGCGGTCACCTTATTTCCAGGAAGGGACTGAGGACCTAAGTTGGTGATTGTTAAGTTAAAAATGGAGGAGGATATGCTAACAGTGCCTACTTATATACTGGACCATTACATAAGGACCTTAACAAAAGGTTTGTAAAGTAGAGCCTGGAAGTTCTGCAGCATATGAAACAAGGACCTTGTTGTTCCCACTCCTCAATCACAAAGGATGTTGACCAATGTCTTATGGTGAACATAACTTGGGGCCATGTCAGCACACCAGCCTAAGGAAGAGAACAATGTAAATAAAGGGCATATCCCTTCTGTTGATCACATAACCTTGAAGTGGCTGTATTACTCTGCTCATCTGCCACTAAACTGAAGATACAATGGAGAATCACATCAATTATTTAATTTAAATATCAAAAATCCCACTGTACAGAAGAAAAGACTGGCTACTGGAGGAGTCCAGTAGATTTGAGAAGCCCTGCTATTCTCTAAGGTTCTGTGGTCATATGAAAACATTTTGGAAACTCCTGAGGAATAATAAACCGAGCAGAGAACAGAAGGAAAGCCTCATACAGGGCCCTAGTCAACTGGGAGATGGCATGAAGCCTGTTCTTGATTATGTGATCCCAGAAAAATTATCTTGTGTGATCTACATGGAGATTTTCCCAGTATGTGTTGAATATGAAAATGCATGGTCTATGGAAAAAGTGTTCAATGTGGAAGAGTGGTGGTTAATGAAATATACATGATTTCTTCTTCACAGAACTTCACATTTGATGAGGAAGATAAATTCATTAAATATTAGAGAATTCAACGGTTGCTTTGTGTAGGATCAGTAAAACTTCTGTTTTTCCAGTTTAAGCCACTAAAAATCATGAAAGCTCATCTCTCTAAGAGAGTTAGTTCATGGTGGGTTCATTCCCCACATTCCTCTCATTCCACTTGAAGGTCTCTGGCTTCAGATACATTTTCAGGACAGGACAGGGTCGCAGGATTCAACTAACTATTCCTAATTTTATTTCATTCACAGTTTTGACTAGCATGTTGGTTACAGCTTGGGAATTTCTCCTGTTTTCTTTTTTTTTTAATCAGGCACCTGCAGTCTACTTGGAATCATTGGTAGTTGCACTCAAAGATTTGTTAAAAGGGCAGAACTGAAGCAGACTTGCTGGTTTCACACCCATGCTTTGAGAGAAGAGGATTAATTACTCAGATTCATTCTATCTCAGTTCAGTCTAGGGTAACATGAAGAAAACAATTTTTAACCCTAGACTCTTGAATAAAATGAACGAGTCAATGCTTGCTGAGATCCAATGTCTATCAATCTAGTGGAATTTTCCACCCTGGTGTCAACAGATCCTTTTTCCAAAGTTGAAATCTCCCTAAACATTTCTCTTGATATTTCACAAATTTTGCTTTTCTTACTTCCCTTCATACACTCCTCTCATCACAGAGAACACTCCATTAAATACCAGGGAGAGAGTGTGAAACAGATTTATAATGCATGCTCAGAGCACTCCACTTACTGCCCTGCTAATAGATAAACTCATACTTCACATAATTCTTCTAGATGCTTAGCATAACTATATCATGTCCTTCAAAGACCTGTCAATGATCAATATCAGATATTTGGGCACACATAAATCCTCCTGAATATACCCTGAGTTTGTGAAAAGTGAATTCGAATGTAAGAATTTTTTCTATCACATTTTATGGAACTGCTGTAGTGGTTTTTACCATATTTTCATTTTGCTTTCCATTTAACTCATGTAATGTGACATGGAAAAGCTGTGTATTATGCATTCATTCAGTGAATAAATTGTGAATACAGGGACCTCATACAAAACTAGCATGGTGATTTCTGTGTCTCTCTAAATTCCTACATATGAGAGAAAATTTACTGGCCTGTAGTAGCACTGAATCTATAGCATTAGCTTTCTGAGTGGTGTGTTTGGATTATAGTATATTTCTATGATATTTAATGATTATGATGACGAGGGCAGAGACCTCAGGCTGTATTGTTGAAAAGTACTGTGTTTGCTCTGTACTCCAGAAATCTTTAAATCTTCATATGTTACTTAATCTCTGAAATATTCTATTTTCTCCCTTTTTACAATGAAAACAATGATTATCATACTCAGGTTAAAGCTGAGAAACAGAAATTACATAAGAGTTTCTGAAGCTTGGGTTTTGCTTTCAGGAGCACCAATGGAGTGATTGTGGGCCTGGAACCAACCACATCAGCCTTGATTACAGAGGTGATGGGAACGTATGACTATAACCACACCTATCAGAGATATTGTTTCATGGAGATGACAATTATCATGTGGTTGAATGTCATCACTGATGTGATTGGACTGGCAGGAAATGCAGCTGTGATCTGGCTCCTGGGCTTCCGGATTCGAAGAAATGCCATCTCAGTTTACATCCTAAACCTGGCTGTGGCTGATTTCCTCTACCTTTGCTTTAACTTTGCTCTGACCCTGAAAATATTGATTACTTTTTTATGTTACAACAAGAAAATCTCCTTCTCTTTTGTTGTGATTTTTGTGTTTTTCTATACTTACACAGCAGGCCTGAGCTTCCTCAGTGTTATTAGCCTGGAACGTTGCCTGTCTGTCCTGTGTCCCATCTGGTACCGGTGCCACCGCCCAAGACATGCATCATCCTTCATGTGTGTGATAGTATGGACACTGTCCTTGCTATTGGCTTTTTTGGTATCTTATTACTGTGAAGGCCCACGTACCTATTTTGACGGGAAGTCATGTCTGTTAGTCAGTCTTCCTAGTGTTGGATACTTGCTATGTTTATTTGTGATTCTCTTAGGGTCCAGCCTGGCTCTGACTGTAAGGATGTTCTGTAGCCCTCAACGGATGTCACTGACCAGGTTGTATGTGACCATCCTGCTCACAGTACTGGTCTTCATCTTCTGTGGCCTACCCCATGGCATTGACTATTACCTACAGGGTGTGATTTATGTTGATGTGTTTCAGTTTCCCTGTTACTTTCCTAGCCTTTTATTTTTACTAACTTCTGTTAACAGCTTTGCCAACCCCATTATTTACTTCTTTGTTGGCTCCTTTCGGCAGCAGCAGAGGCAGACCCTTAAGCATGTTCTGCAGAGGGCTCTGCAGGACACTCCTGAAGACAATGAATGTGGAGGTAGCCTTTCTCAGGGGACCCTGGAGATGTCTGGAAGCAGAGTGGAGCAATGATAAACAACTCCTCTTTAGTTGTGGTTTTGTGAGTGAATCTGGACAGAACACAATTCACAGTAGTCTCAGTCCCTGTCTCCGAAATGTTTTAGTAATTCCTGAGCAAATTCAAATTAATGTACTTATCTCAGTTTTTCCAGCTTTACGTCAATATAGCATTACTATGAAAATGGAATATCTATATCAATCTATATGAATAAAGTTTTTGTTGCCTTTCTTAATATTTTCTTTGTCAGCACTTTTTAGCTTTAGTTTTGTATCAATAGGGAGAATTCTCCTACAAACCATAAAACCGTGTTTATAACTGTCATATCCACAGTAGTTTTTCAGATTTTTTTATTTTCTCTCTATAATCTAATGGGAATCATAATCTGTATTCTTTAAAGCATTTCTACATGCAGATAAATTATTTGTTAATTATTGTATTAGATCCATTGGGCTTTTGGAAATATGTTCTTGAAGTCATACTCTCTCTGAAAATAAAAAGTCCTATTGGTTTATATAAATATTGTTGGAAATATTTCTCATTGACATGTTGACAAGTTGATCTTTTCTGCTAATAAAATGCATGTCCTTTAATTTTGTAGACTATAATTTATTTTAGTTTAATTAATTATTCAGAGCAATCTAAATCTGGAGATATGCGAAACCAGTCCCAATTGGACATTTATTGTAACCCATGAAGTAAGGGAAAGACTAGGTCTAAGTAGGTCATTTGTTTTCATAGCCATCCTGGTGCCTACCCAGGTGATGGGGGCTGTCCACCCAGCTTCCAAGGCCTAGAGGTGAAACAAGCCATCTTTTGAATTGCAGATATACCAACTTGCTTAGACCTAAGAAGGATATGTAAATGCATTTTATTGTTTAGGTTCAGGGGAATCCCACCTCCCAAGTGATGGGTATGCCTGAATCCTGAGAGGTTGGTAAGGGGACTTGGATAATAGGTTACTGGATCTATCAGTACTGTGCCTTGAACTTGGAAGATTCTCCAGTTTCTTGTGACCCTGTCTCTGTATCTAACCAGATTTTAAGGTGAGACCAGCCCAGATGCCATTACACCAGGCCTCATGTGCTGGGTCCTGTCTCCTGACTCTGATCTGGTCAACATGGTGTACCACTTCAGCCCTCATTAGGGTTGATCTGGTTGTTGGTATTTTCTTTCTGCTCTTTTTTTACTCTCCTGCTCTCATGAGTCAGTTTGCTAACACTGTTAAGTGTATTCTTAAGGCTTTAGGTCTTTGCAACAAGAGTTGCCTGCATTCATCAGCTCTCCAATAAAGAGTGTCAATTCAACCTCTCAAAATGAGGCTTCTCTATATCTCACTGACTGGATCCCCTTACAACACCCCAGTATTGATTTCGAAGTGAAAGTATGTTGTAAACCATTTATGAATATGCATGTAACTATTAGATTTTAGAAGACTTCAGGAGTTTGCACCAATTTTTTTGACTATGTCTTTATCTCTATTTAACTGTCAGTACCTCTGGGAGGAAAACAAAAATAATTAATTGGATAGATTTAGCCCATTGATACTATTACCTAGTATATTCAAGGGTATAAGTAAAATCCATAACATTGTTACAATAAACCAACAAATCAAACAACAAAGCAATAAATAAAGCAACTGAACCTTCTCAACCCATGTCAACTGTGGTCAGTTTAGTTCTCTATTTTCAGTGCAGAACTCAGTGCTCTCTCAAATCCTCCCACTATTATTCTTGCCTCTGGAAGCTCAAACTATCCCTTCCCTCTCCCACCTCACACACTCCTCCCCATCACACCCTATCCCCCACACTGCCCAAAGTTGTAAAGTTCATTTCCAATAAACTGTCCTGTAGGTATCCTTGTTGTAATGGGTCATCCTGTGTCCTTGTTTCAGCATGTCCTTGTTATTCCCCCTCCCCTCCCCATATTAGATAAATGTATATACATTGCAGGGTACAAAACCAAGTACAGTGACAACAGGGAATATGACATAGGGGAAAGAACATACAAAGGAAACAACAACAAAAATTAAAATCACATGGTACATTTTAAACAATAACAATAATGACAGACCTCTTGTGTCTATATCTTGGGGTTCATTTCACTTAGCATCATTTTATATGGTTATATGTACATGGCTTTTGAGCTTTTCAGCTCATCTGATAAGATTATCCTACATATATACTAATTGTTGTTAACAAGGGAAACCATCGGACCTAAATTTCTTTGGGACTGGGTTACTTCACTTAATATGATTTTTTCCCAAGTCTTTCCATTCCCTAACAAATGAGGAAGTGTCATTCTTTCTGATGGAGGCATAAAACTCATATATATATATATATATATATATATATATATATATATATATATATATAAACATTTTCTTGATCCACTCATCCACTGAAGGGCATCTGGGTTAGTTCCATATCTTACCTATGGTGAATAATACTGCAATAAACATAATTGTGCTGGTAGCTTTAGTATGACTTTGTTTGAGATCATTTTGGTAAATGCCCAGAAATGGGATTGCTGGGTCATAGGGGAGCTCTATGTGGAGTCTTTTGAGGAACCTCCATACTACTTTCCAAAGTGGTTGAACATGTTTGCACTCCCACCAACAATGCAGTAGGATTCCCTCTGGCCGCATCCCCTCCAGCATCTGTTGTTACTAGACTTTTTAATTACAGTCATTCTAACTGGGGTGAGGTGGAATCTCAACTGGGGTGAGGTGGAATCTCAATGTTGTTTTGAAATGTTTGCATTTTTTTATGACCAGAGAAGCTGAGCATCTCTTCATGTGTCTATTGGCCATTCTTATTTCTTCTTCAGAGAATTCTCTCTTTAAATCTTTGCCCAATTGTTGATGGGGCAGTGATTTCTTGTTTCTTTTGAATGTTCTTCCCCCTATGGAATATTCCTGTTGTCACTATATTTGAATTCGGTACTGGTATTGTGTATTTGTATATTGTATATATTGTATATTTATCTGAATTAGGGAAGGGAAGGGGAATAACAGAATAGTGAGATGAAGGACAAAGTGGTAAACAATGCAACTGCAATATTCAAAAGACAATATCTTGGAAATGATCTATACAACTTACAGGATAGGGGGAAGGAGAGTGGAAGAAAAATGAGGGAAGGGGAACAAGTGTGATAAGAAATATACCTGTACATCACCTTGACAATAAAAAAATGTGGGTAAATTAGTAAAATAAAAAAGTGTACCAGTAAAATCTAAGAAAGATAGTGACCAGAGAATATAAAAAATACTGAACCTGGTTCCGGGAAGATGGCGGAGGAGAAGCTGGAATCTGAACAAGCTCTTGCATAGAAAGCAGTTTCAGAGTTCCAGTGAACAGTCCCAAGCCAGAGAATCACACCAAGTGTGCCATCACAGGACAGAGAGTTAGTCAAGAGAGGGGAAGCCAAGCAGACACATCTGAGCGCCTGCCAGCAGCTGCCGCTGCGGTGGCAGGGTCGCAGCAGCAACCACCGCCGCGGGGTCATACCTGAGACACAGTCCGGGACGAAGGAGCCAGACGCAGCGGACGAGCGGATTCTACTCAACACCAGCAAGAACCAACAAGGAGCAGACATCTTCATCCTGCAGTTTGCAGAATAGAGATGACCCAGGATCCAAGACTCGGCGTGAGTAGAAGCCTGACTTCCTCACTCCTTCTCAGGGAGCAAAGGAGGGAAGGCCACCCCTCCCCCCCCAGCATCGGTGATCTCCATCTTGGATACCGACAAAGCTAGGAGGAGCGGCTAGCTCCAGCTCAGGCCTTGGAATAAAACGAGTCATTTAGCAGGTCACAAGAACTTAATGGCGAAGTGACCTCACAGACTCAGTTCCATCCAGGGAAAAGTCACCCAGCTCAGGCGCCAGCCATTGGAGTGGCTCTCCTCACCTGGTAACCAGAGCCAGAGGCTGCCCCTCCCTCTAGCAGCCACCACAATCAATTGAAAAACAGAAACCCTGAGAATGGCTCCAGGCTGGGTGCTGTGAGTTTTTTTCACAAAATAGCCCCAGGGAAAAGCTACTGTTTGTTGAAAGGCTTCAACTCTACCCAGACCCTAGCCTCATCACTGCATCCCCCTCTTTTGTGATTCTCAAAGCAGATCACCCTCCCAGTAAACTAACCTGGGAGGGGGATCTCAAAATCTTGGGTAAAGCAGAGCATTTTTCTGCCTGTTCCAACAAACTGACTTAAGAAACCAATCAAGCCACAGGACCTCAAGCTGACCAGAGACTCCAACCAGACTCTGGTTACAGACAAAAGGGAGATACAGGACTCTTCCCACCCCTCCCCCCCAAAAAAAAAAATCAAAGACCTTTTTTTTTTTTCTTCTTCTTTTTTTATTTTTTTCTTTTTTTTTGTTTTTTTTTTTTTCGTTTTTTGTTACCTTATATATATAAAAAAATTTTTTTGCTTTTCTAAAACTTTTATTAATCTTTAATTTTTGCCTCTTCTGAAAAAATAATTGTTGTCCAGTAACTTTTTTTTTCTCCTCTTATAATTTTTATTTTAGGAATACGTGAATGTGTGTTTTCCTTTCTTTTCTTGTCTTCTTTCTCTTTTTCTTTCATTCTTAATTATCTTTTTGTTTTTTGTCTAGCTCTACTGAACTTCTGATCTTTTCTTCTCACTTTCCTATCCGTTCCATCTTTTCCTCTTTCTTCTTCTTTATGTGACTTAACTCTTGTCCTGCACATCCTCAGATAAACCCGTAGTTAACCAGTAGACCCTACCCCCCCATTGTGTACACACTTAATCCACAAACTTATTACTCAATTCAAAACCTCTGAGACTTAAATTCATTAATAGCAGTACTACCTCTTTATACCTATATAATATTTTAAGCATTTTTTTAAAGTTTTTCACATCTCCTCTATGTCCCTCCCTTTCTCTCAACATATTCATATTCCTCTATAAATAGATGGTCTTTTAATCTCTAAAATAACATTAATTTTTACGTTTCTATTTTCTTTTCTGGTCTCTTTTCATTCCCCTTT